TGTGTGAATTCACATGGAAATCGTTTTCAACGTATTAAATTAAACAAACTAATTATTAAAGATTGTGCTTTCAATATGGTAGTATACAAGATTTGTGAATATGAGAGGGAGGTTGATTCTGTTTTTGCAGTCAAATTTGTTATTTTTCAGAGATAAATTGGCTTGTTCCAAGCTCTTCCGTACCATCTTAGTATCATTTTGTTTTGATGGTCTTGAGTTCTAGCTTGCCAAGATAGTCAAGGCATGATCCCACTTTCATGACCTTGCCAGATTCAAGAACTGTTTATATATAAAACCATTAACAGTACCATGCACACGTGCTCATATGACAGATGGTTCGAGCCCATCAAAGTGAATCTCAGCAAGAGTATAAAGGTCGGATAATATCATTATAGTACGAGGTTGATAGAGCCATCTTACAAAATACACAACCATCCCATTTATAGCAACGGAATTTACAGAGGTACTAGTACAACAGATTGCACTAAACTAATTGGAGAAAACACGTACAGAGAGGAGACAAGAGTAATGAAGACAGTTAACAAATTTTCATTATTTAGCATATCCATTAACATAGACAAACATCCTATTAAGATAACACGACAGTACTAGAACTAAGATATACTGGAAATGAAGTGTGTGTAAGCACGAGAATACTGCAATGCTAATTCAAAATAAGTTTGCATAATACGTTCTGTACTGACAAACGATTTGATGGCCACTGAGCAGAAACAGATGACACGGCTCAAAAACCATGAATTTTGATATGCTCCTTTTTCACAATCCCAGCCTGAACAAGAAAGGATGAGACGTTCTTCCGCTGATCACCTTGAAGTTGAATAACCTGGCCTAGTTCTGGGTCCTGAACAACAGTACCATTGCAGCAAAACTCTTTCTTAAGGTCCTTGAGTATTTTATTATAGCTGAATTCCTTCTTCAAACCCTGCACAGTAGTCAGGCTTTTCCTACCATTTCNGGTCCTGAACTTCAGTACCATGGCAGCAAAACTCTTTCTTTAGGGCCTTGAGTATTTTATTATAGCTGAATTCCTTCTTCAATCCCTGCTCAGTAGTCAGGCCTTTCCTACCATTTCGCTGCTGTACGCGTATGTGAACATAGTCTTTTGACCCAGCATCAGAATTCTCAGCATTTGCATCAGCAAAAGGATCTTCATCACATAAAAAACCAAATTAGCCAATTGCAAGCAAGAAGTTAGGAATTCCATTCTAGACTCCAGAAATCTAGGAAGGCCAATGGACCAATTAGAAATAGGAACAGTCTTGTGTGACATTCACATGGCTTATTTCTTCATTGAGATGTATACTTATCACAACATCTATCTATTTTATCTTTTCATCGTGTTAACATGCAACTGTTCTTTATACGTTAAGAAGGAAGGAAGGAAGGATTAAAAATGAGTAGACCAGAAAACTGTCTAAGGAAACAAAGGAAACAGAACAGCACATCAAAAGCATTAGGAGTCTGGAATCTGGATATCACGATAGAAAAATATTTCAGATAAAAACAAAGCAGCATACCAAATGCAGTTGGAGTTTGTATGTCAAAATCAGACATGAAACTTGGCTTATGTAACAATCGCAGTGTATCCCTTAAACTAGTTGTAAATGCTCAGACCTGGATAAAAGAAACAAAAAAATCCCAATGATCAATACACACCAGATTACAGTCTCATAGACAAAAGCAAATTTGTCAAGCTACATCTTAAGGTCTTGATGAAGGAGAAAAAATGAAAAACAATAACCAAGAGAAAATAATGGAATCATAAAAACGGCCAGCATGAAAAACCAACAAGGCATCCAATTACAACTTGGGTAGAAAAGCATGACTGCCACAATCTTCTCTCATTTTTTTAATTCTAGTTCAAGTTTCACGAAATGTTCCCACAACAACAGCGTAAATTCAGGACAACATATGGTGAATGCAGATTGCTCCTTGGCATTCATCTCAAGTGCAGTTCAAGTGCGAACAAAGGCCATATTATTTATGTAAAGAAAGAAAGGCAGCAGCAAGAACTATATCTGTCAAAGAAGAGTCAAGAAGGAATGGAATGGAAAGTTTGGATGGAATGTGCCTATGAACTATTCCTCTTTCAAGCTCATTACGCTAAAGGAAGGTACAAGAAACTCATTTCTACATAGATTGGCATTCACAATAAACGCAGACCTTAATGAAGGTGCAACCAAACGAATTGCATTATCCCCACCGCCACCCACTTTTGACATGATAATTAATAGTGCACAAATTATTAAACCAGATAAGTCAATATTTGATACTTAATGCTGAAAGATGCAGTAGTTCTTCAATTAATAATCATAAAATCGAAAAAATCACTTTTCCAAGTCGTGATTTAAAAAATAGCAAAACTATCAGTACAATTTATCATGAAATTCCATCAAACCGGTCTTCTATATTCTTCAGTATTAACAATAAGCTGAATTTTAAGAAAAAATCATAACCCCAACCTATACCGCAGACACACAGAGTTTACCAAAGGACTAACACTTCCATAGTCTAAAAGGACTTAAAAAATGGAACGGAAAACAAACCTTGACCAGGAAAGCATAATCAAAAGAAAATTCAGTACATGGTATGAATAATGATTCAACCAGCAAAAACACAAATCGAATTTACAGAATTAATTCCAAGGAGTTTATCAAAGATTAAGACTTTAATCATCTAAAAGATCAAAAAAATTCCCAAAACATTCCACGATCTATGCGAACCAGTCAAAATAGAAAAGCACAAAGAACAGAAAATTAAATTCTTTATAGCATGCAGAACTATTTTATCAAAAATAAAAAAGGAGAGAAGCAAATTAACAAAATTAATCCCAAACAAACAATCAAGATGCATAAAAGAAAGTCAAAAACGAAAAATTAATACCATCAGATAAAACCATTGTTCAACTCTAATCAAATCGGATCTGAAATGACCGTGGGTCAAAAAGAAAAACTGGGTTCGAGCACTTACTTGATCCAAAGACTAGGGTTTGGCGAGAAATGGAATTCTGCAATATAAGAACTGAACCCAAACTTCGTATAAGCCCGAGCAGAGATTGACAGACGCCAGAGCTGGGGCAGAAAAACGAAAGAACCTTACGCGTTCAAATAGGGGTTATTTAAAAGAAGCGAGATTAGGGTTTTTTAGTGATATGGATTGCCGGTTATTAACGGGAGCGCACGTGGCGATTTTCCACAACAGGTGACCGTGTATTTTTTGACTATCCATAATGAAAAATATTATTCATCCCCAATCTATGTGGATATAAATGATTAGTTAAATGATATGTGAAATTAAATAACTTATTTAATTTTACATTTTATTTAATGCCAAATTATCGCCACATACATTGGGGATACATCTCCAGTGGGGATAAATAGCATTTCTCATCAATAATTGTCATAGGTAACATATACATGTCAGTTTATTATTTGATATATTAATATGACAATTTTTTTGGACTATATAAATAATGTTATAAATAGTTACACATGAATGAGGTGTCAGAAGAGAAGAGAGAGTGAAGAATTTTTTATTATATTTTTAGTTGAAGAAATTTTGATTTCATTATATCTTGTATAGTTACATCAATCTGTAAGTAGTGATATACATGCACAACCATCACTATATAGCCCCTGTTTGGCCCCCATTTTTTCCATTACATTACATTAATTTTTTCTCTCTTCGTTTCAACAACACATTCATCAAATAAAATAATATTACACACAAATCTAAAACTTTTCATTACGTTTCTACCACACATTCTCCTATCAATTACTATTTCAAAAATTTTCAACACTCCAAAATGGGGGCCAAACAGGAGCATAGTGTCATGCGAGCATGGTTAGAACATTTTCAAAAAATTCTATATTTTTAAGAGTAATTTTATTTGAAACCACTTGTGTTATAATACCAGTCTAGATAACACTAAGTGTTACTATATTAAACATACAATTACATAGATCACACAATTTCACATTTAATTAACATATCTAATAAAGCCCTGGTTTTGCCCCCCATTATTTGTAATTAAAATTAGGGTTGTAAATGGATCGGATATGGATCAAATTTGCCTATATCCGATCCGATCCAATAATCTAACGGATATTTGATTCTTAAATCCATATCCGATTTGCTATGTTATCGAATATTCGATCCGATAATCTGATTCGAAATTAATAAAAATTAGGAAAAAAAATCAATGTAATTTAAAAAAATTTAAACTAACTTGAGGCTCACCTATTTTTACTAGTAAGTTCAATAGTGACTTTTACCATCATAATATTCCTTTTTAAAGGAGAAATCCCCTTCTAATTTTCTATTGATATTCGATGTGGGATAAGGTAAAATTGAATTTCAATTCCAAATATAAATATTTTATTTCATTATTTTTATTAACAAATCAAATTATTTATTATATATTAATTAATAATTTTTGAAGTTGTAAAATAAAT